TTTCCGGTCAGAACAGCTTAATTGAGCCTGTATATTCTCCAGAGCAGTCCTTGAGAAAGAGATAAGGTAATGAGGGGGAAAATGACGAGTGGATGACACTTTGGCTGTAAATCAGCCTCCTTGAAGCTGCCAAGAGGAAAACGTGTACACCTGCACAAATGCTGGGGAGCTTCAAGTTCACTTGACTGACCCCATAACAAGGCGGCGGAGTGGCTTCTGTATTGCACCCTCATTTGATTTACCCACTGGTGGACTCTCTGTCCCTGGGGGAGCCCAGGTGAGCATGGGTTGGTCCACTCTCCTCCACTCGCTGCTCAGCACCCCTGGATATTTCGCCCAATTAGAAGCTTTGCACCTGGATTCAGAATCCTTGTCTTTGTGCTGAATGGATCCCACGGGTGTTGGAAGAATCCAACAAGGTGTAGAGCTGTGCAGATAATACAGATAACTAACTGTAATGCTGACAGTGGTTGTCTATGGAGGAGGTGAATGATTGTGGGTTCGGTGTTGCGCCTCAGTGCTGGCGCCAGAGCATTGAGCTGAGGGAGGAGATAAGGCGCCAAAGGAGTGCAAAAGTAGACTCGCTGTGGACTCAATGCCTGCTGAAGTCAGCACTATTGACTGACACCTGTCATTGCAGTATACAGTATATCTCTCTGTGTGTGTGTGTGTGTGTGTGTGTGTGTGTGTGTGTGTGTGTGTGTGTGTGTGTGAGTCTGACTTAGGCTACCTTTGGGGACACATTTCAGACTATAGAACAGTTAATTGGGGACGGCTTGTCCGACTGGGGGTAAATGTTGTGTCCCCAATTTGAAAAAAGCTGATTTTTGGGTCTGGGGTTATAATACATCTCCAGGAAATTAATGTAAGTCTGTGTAATGTCCCCAGAAGTTACATAAGTGTGTGTTTGTTTGTGTGTGTGTGTGTGTGTGTGTGTGTGTGTGTGTGTGTGTGTGTGTGTGTGTGTGAGGGTTTCTGACAACCAAGGGCTTAGTTTGAGGGAAGGCACGTATAGTTTTTGGTCCTTTGAGTGTATATTCATAAATAAATAAATAGACTCAGTTGCCAGGTTTGCAATAAATCCTACCTTCTTGAATTTCATTTCATTATACTTTGAGGTGTTTCTAATATTTTGTGCTCATGGGTGGAAGGGGGGAGGGGGGCAATCAAAAAAACGCAGCAAAAGTGAACACTTGGATTCCCCTGCGGTGGATAAAACATGATAAAATGCCCTTAAAGGTCCTATTCCAGTGGAGAAAATGTGGTAAAGTGCCCTGTAGGGTGTTAATCCTAACCCTGACTAAGCTGTTTCATCATTAATGCATCACAACTTCCGTTTTTACAGTCCATAAAATTGCAAAAGAGCAATAATATCACACATGTTGTGGTTACTGACTACCAGAAATTAAGGGGTTGTGTCACTCTAATTTACCCCTGCAAAATAAAAAAAATTAATATTGAGTATTCAGGTACCACCTTCATACAATGGAGGGGATTTTTCTTCAGTAGTTCCAAAGAAACCTGTTCATAGCTGTATCTGTCAGTTCTTCAAAGTAACTAGGACACCGTTTGTTTTTTCTCTGATGTTTCTGTTGCATTTTTAAATATAATTTTCCAGTGGTTTAAGCAAGATAAACAAAAGTCTATCCACCTTTGTTGTAGGCAGGAGACAGAGACAGATATCTCAAAACAGGCACAAATAAAACAAAATCTCACGACTTGAAGACCTGATAAATTAGGATTTATGTATTTTGTGGTTTATGTGAACAGTCCCTTTAAATTTAGCCATTTGTTTTCCTGCATAGACTCCCTGTAAATGGCAGCAAATTAGCACTGTTAAATTAAGTGTTTAAAAGCCAAACATTCATGATGGAATATGTCCAATATCAATAAGTTAATATGTGGATTTCTTCCTAATGGTTAAAAAAAATAAAAAATAAAATGTTGAAGTGGATTAGATGAAAGCAGATGGGGGGCCCACAAACTTAATGTATTTGCATTCTAGCGGTAAAGTCCCACCACGTGGGATATTGCTCCCAGTTTCACACAGGGGCTAATGCTGATGACGTTCACTGTGATTTTGTCATATCTCCCCCTGGACTCATTTGTAATCTGTTCCATTGGTATTTCCACACATTGTACTTGGCAGAATCAGGCCAGAGTGTGACAGCCCCAGAGCCGTGGTCCTATGTACTGTGTGTGTGTGTGTGTGTGTGTGTGTGTGTGTGTTTTGTAGGTCTTGGAGATGAGGTATCTTCGCACTAACTGGTCAGTTCCTACTGTAGCCCACCTGCCCAGACACCAGTGTTGCTCCCTTTACCCTTCATCATGCTCCATGCATTGCCTTATTTTGTTTTATGCTACAACATGCACCGCACTTCAGCCTCTGCACACAGGCACTTTCATACGCCACTGATCCCAACTTCCACACTTCATTGCAATCATTAGCTTATTGTTTCTTAGTCTAATACAGTTCAGTTTGTTATTGTTGAGTTTAGCGTGCACCTCCCTTTTTAACTGCAGTCGGCCAGCCAGTCATAACAAAAGTAAGACCCTAAATGTGCTTCAAGGCTGTAAATTGGCTCCCATTTCTCCAACAATGTCCCTGCAGGCTCCTCATGAATGAGCACACAGCATGTAGGTTTAGGGTAACCACAGATCAGAACACAATGTGGCTTAAAAGAGAATAAAAAGGAGAAATTGACCCTGTTAATGGTCATAAAAGTCTGTGAAATATATGTTTTTAACAAATAAATAATGAAGTGACACTATTAGGATATTTGGTCCTCAGAGTAGTGACATTAGAACATAAATGCTTTGCAGTTACTGAGTTATCTTTCCATTTTTTTAATTCATAAAACTATCTTCTAGCTGTTGAAAGATTTTCAGTAAGCCAAAAGCATTTACACGTGATCATTATCTTCTTTCATGAAGAACTGTAGCATAGTCCTGGGAATATCCTTTTTTGCCTCCATGATGAACACATATGCAAATAACAAATATGTGAACCTCAGGAGAAAGACCCTAAGTCTCTCAGTTAGTCAGACACATTTCCATTCACTTCCCCAGAGTTTATGAAACTCTGAGATGTCATTCATCTAAAATTAGATGAGTGAGCAGAAAAACATGTTGGTCTTGGATATTTATGGAGTTGTGCTTCAGGCAACCAGACCTCTCCCACTAAGAGTCTGGGTATTTTTTCAGAGTTTAAAGATAAATAGCATATTTCATCTTTCTATTCCAGATTTCAAGCTTAGCAGAAATTATCCTGTGCCTGCCTTGATAAATCCAGACATCTCCCACATTGCAACAATAACACCAGTTATCACCTCGGATTTACAACATTAGAGAAAGTGAATTACAGTCTTTTCCGAATCTTGTAGTCTATAAAACAGAGTCTAATCCTTATATTCATTGTTGGAAAAATGAAATCCTGTTTGCTTGGTTTTTACATCATGCCTCTATTATTCCGTGTGTGAATAACAGTCTTTTCTGGTTGCCTAATATCTGATAAGCAGGGTAATTCTCCCACTCTTAAATCCACAGGCTTTGCAGTAATTTTCTAATACAAGGGCTGTAATTACGCTGTCAGACCTGTCTCATGCTAAAGAAAGCTGTTGTGGGAAATACAAGGCCTGCAGGCAACCCTGCCAGATAATTGAGGGCGGCTAGCGGTGGCAGTGATGTTTTCTGATTGAAGATTTAATGTTTCTTTGCATCAAGAGGAGGATGTTGGTTATTGATCGTTTATAAAGACCGTAAGGCCAGGGCCAGGATCTGAGGTTATTGATCTGTAAGGAAGGCAGAGTGGCTACGACTGGGTTTAGGTGGTTCTGTGAGATAGGTCAGCAAGGTCACCTGGGCCAGGCCAGGCCAAGCCAGGCCAGGCAACGCCTTGACGTTATATATTTGTGTATATTTGATATGCAAAAACAGATTCATTGATTTTTCATTGGGGTGTTAGGATTCAGATCGTGCTAAGTGCGCAACGAAATGCCATCCAAAGCGGATCTGGTTTTCAAAGACGGGGAAAGGGGCATTGGATTTCAAACTGAGAGAGTTCATGCTGCTTTCCAATTGAATAGAGGCTGAGAGGAAGAGATATGGGTCTGGGAGCTGAGCGGAGGAAGAACGGTCACTATATCCCTGACAAATTCATTATGTTACAGTCCCCTTCAAGGTTTTTGCTATTTTATTCTCTGCTGGGGTATTAAGAATCTAATGCTGTTTTTATGGGTTTCTGGAAGTCCATTCACATCCTAACCCATATCGCATCTTAGTCAAATAACAGCTAAAGAGAGACTTTAAAAAGCCCTGAGATTATTTTAAACTTTCTTTTTTTGTAACATATGGGTGTAGGCTCATGTCTTTCTTGACCAGGATTATAGGTTTCATTTTGCATTATGCCTTAGCTCACAGATGTAGGAGGGCTACAGGGATATATGTCTTATACTTATAATCTTGTTATTGTTTTATCCATTTCTGCATACAATGAACAATATACCAAAGCCTTAACAAAGGTTTTTTTTTTTTCCTTTGAACTTGTGTTGGAGGACACTCACTGTCCCATGAGAGGCGCTTCTTCATCTATCATCACACTGGCTGTTTTTGGGGTTGCAGCAATATAGTCCCCAAGCCTCGCTCCTTACGGAAGCAATGTGGCGACACTGCAGAAATCTGTTCGCTAAAAATAGTTCTCTCTATAAATGGTGCTTGTGATGCACAGCTATGGTTCTCTTCCCGTTTCCTTGAGATCCTCTCTAGAGGAAGAGGCACACATTAAAATGTCAACAAGAGGGGATCTATTTCACTTCTTAAATGATGGCAGTTTTGTGTGGGGTCGCTTGATTGGCTGGTGATGGCGGGTGAAACACAAGGACAAATGAGTCTGTATCTGAAAAATCTAAAATCTGCTGCATGGTTATCAGTGTGGTAATTATCGTATGGAAAGCTGACTGTTTGATTCAGCAAGCCTCCAGCATATTAGAACTATGAATAAATACAATTCTTACCCATTTATTAGCTTTTTTGCACACTTACAATCAAGGATTAGTCAAATATCCATTGGCGTTATATACCTACACAACATCATCTATCCAACACATAATGACAACATTGGACAAAAAGTTTTACAGATCTAGGCAGTGCTTTCTTCATTTAAGTTAATTTCAGTCACCATTTATACCCAACACACAAAATAGTGAATTGAACGTTTGTCTTGATATTGCATAATTATGCTAAGGGTGAAATGACATGCAGTGCCGTTATCAAAGCCTACTACAAGTATATGTGTTATCAGTGGAGTTTAAGTGATATTCCATTGCTAACTCACAGCACCATCTGGGTACATCCATTTTTTAAAAAACAGCTATTGTGGGCAATTGCACATACAGTATGTGATAGGTTGATGGATTGAAACGATGTTGCCCCTGAGGTTGCTTTGTTGCTTCAACTAGTGACATAGTAGCCTTTAGTACGACTGGTTCCCGACTCTCTGTAGTGAGAACAGGGTTACTGATGTAAGCCCCAGAGAAACCTGATTTACACATGTGCATATCATACACAACACTGTGCATACTTTACAGATCAAGGACTCACACTGCCTTGTACCTTGTGTGCTCAGCTAGTCATGCTGGCGGGAAAGTGGCCATAGTTTCTTTACTTTTTTTCTAATACAGTACAGTATGTGTCTTAGAGGGTGCTGTCTATTGCCTATGCAAATAATACTCTTCATTCATGTTGACATGACACTATAATCTCTCTTTCTTCTTTCTTCTTTCTTCACACTCATATTCAGAGACGGTACTTTCTCAGGAGCTCTGATTGCCACATGTACTTCCTCTCTGGAAAGCGATCGGGAATCCTAATGCGCCGGAAGTCCTGGATGCATTTCTCCAGCTCCTGCTCGGGAGTCATCTTCTCTTTGTTCGCTTTCCTCTTTGCAGCCTCTCGTTCTCGGACCCCGAAGGTTCTCACACGGAGCATTTCCGTCTTGCGGCGCATCTCTGCCTGCTGCAGCATATGAACTGGTCCTTTAGGCATGGGACGGTCCAGCGTCTGGATGTTGCCCCGCCGGCTCACGGGGCCACAGACCACGGTTCCTTGAGGGGAGCTGGCCTCCGACTGGGTCTCAGAACAAGAGGTGGAGAGCTCGTTGAAAGAAGTGCCGCTCTCTCCCTCACGCTCGCTTTTGTGGCTCTTGCAGCAGCAGTCACAGTGAGAGGACGGCCATCGTGAGGGCCCACCTAGAAAAACACACACAAAACACATTTGTCAGTTGTTTTGACCACGCGCAGTACATTTTCTGTTATGCCAAGACCTTCCTTCATGCAGAAACACACTGTAAACTAAAATCCCAGCTGTGTGCGTGGTGACAGATTCAAGCTGTAATCAAAAGAAACAGTTACACTGATCAAGCAAATGCAGACAAATGCCTACACAACAATTCCAATGTCATACAAATTTCTTTAAACGAATATCAGATGAGTGTGTGTGGCCATGTGTGTGGGTATTTAGGGGGGTACAGATTTAAGAACATGCAGCTTATTGGCTTTGACATTTAATTGCTGAATCTCAAAGAGCTGGTGGGCTGTGCATATTGCTTCCTCTGATATGGAGAACCCCAGAGCTCAGTGTGCTTCAGTACAGCTCCCTAAAAGACCTTTCCCATTTCCCAAGGCAAAGCTTGTCTCAGAGCCAAAGCAATCTGCTTTGTCGGCGCAGTTTCTTATTAGAACTGTAACCTGACTGCCTGGTATTAAGAAGGTTGTGTATTATGTGAGTGTTTTCAGAACACTCAGTCAGATAAGGAGCTTTCTACCTTTAGGGAGGCAACATGGTAGAAAAAGCAGGTAAACAGTAAGTATAATTTATCTTGGGTGGTAACAGAACCGGGTCAGTGACTAGTAGAGTGAATAAATGTACCTGCAGGCCCTGCAGGTGTTCTGACCTCCTGTCATGAAGTTTGGATGAGAAGTGAACCAGGTATAGTAGCAGCAGAGGATTTTTTAGTAGTCCTCTTTCTTCCTCTTGTACCTACTTCGTGTCTCATCTCACATCCTCCTACACTCTTAATTATGAACCAAAAATACTGTAGTGTACTGCCCGCTGGCTTGTGAAGTATTCAAGGAAAGACAGTAAACACTGTAGCTGTCTTTCAGTTCCAGAAATATCCTTGAACTCTGGTCTCGTTGAGATGTACTAACAGGTATAAATGTACTGAAACTGCTGTGCTCTGTGTAATATAAACAACAGTGTATGAGAAATAAACTAATGTACACAGACTCGAAAAACCTCTTAATGGCTTTTTCCAATGTGATGATACAGACTCAATGGCAATGATATCTCAGAGGGAGCAATGATTTGTCCATTACCTCCTTCCAGTGCATGCACCAATTTATACTGAACAGAGTTCAAGGGGGATTTTAACCTCTCTGCGCACACTGTAATAATGACCTTATCTCTGGTGCGATGATTGCATTGAGCTGATAGTGAGAGAGTCACTAACAGCTTTTTAATGGCTAATCCATGAGTAAAGAGGCCAATCAGCGCACCAATTTCCCCCCACAGAAAATGAATCTAGCTGAATCCAGCAGACGAGCTGCACCAGGCAAATGGATGCAGGCGCTTTAGCGAGGAGAATCAAGAGGAGGGAGGCTGAGCATTGTTTCTAAATGGATGGATGCTGTAGTCCAGAGGGGCAACCCGTTTAGGAAGCCAACACCCAATAATAGCGTCATAAAAATTTCAGGCTTTGTAGGAGAATAAATTGTATTAAAGCCACTGACGGGCAGAGAAGCACCTGGGGTTGCAGTTTTGTTTTATACAACAATTTATCTAAATGGGGCATGGACATGGAAATGACTGTTACCATATAGCTTTTAATGCAACAACAAATCTGTGTGATGAACAATGCAAACCACAAACGATGTGTTTTCGGATAAAGTGTCGTACTGCCAAGCTTTGATGTCCCCTTCATAGCCAAAACAGGAAACAACTGAGAGCCTTGTCAGGAAACACAGTCATTCTCGGGTACATTTAAACAAGTGGGTGTGTATAATACCATTTGGTATCTTTTCAGGGAAGCCATTGATTGCAATGTTTTTTTTCTTCTCAGATCTATACAGCCAGTCTAAGAGATCATATTCCAACCACATTAAAAGACTGGGGCTGGTCCTCAGACCAGACTCAGTATGTGTCAGGCTGAGCACTTCTCATAAATAACACAGAGCGAGGGAGTCGAGTTCTGCACAGAGGGATGCAGGCGTGTCACACGGGCTATCCTCAAATTCCTCTCCATCTCTAATGAAAGCAGGGGTGTTTGTCTTCATGCCTGAAAGAGGTCAGAGCTTTATGGAAATTCAACTGCCTGGTTGTTAGATTAAAATTACTTTCATTATTTATTTTTTTTACCCATTGAAAGGTTTTAAATGGCAGAAAAGTAGGACATGATGGGGACTAAAGGCTCTGACAAACTCAAATGTCAGTGGGTTTCCTGCCAGACATTAGTGTGTTTGTTTTTGTCTGTGCTTCTAAAACTGACTCATCAAGGGCGTCTGATGATTATTTCTTTAACGACAGGGCAGCTCTGTGCTTTAGTCATGTAATCAATGCTGAAAGTTGAGAGGCAAAAAATAAATAAAGAGGAAGAAGAAAGACTCATCACTCAGCAATTTCATGTTCTCATTGCACCATGATGCAATTTATTTCAGATTTTGACTTGTGTGACCCGAAGCTGTCTGCCTTTCACATTTAAATCTCAGCGGTGACGTGAACTGTGCCCTCAATCTAAATAAATAATAATGAAGTTTTGGACACAAGCTAGAGAATTTCTGAAATATCATATTCGATCAACATACTTGGGTTTTTTTTACCCAAACACAACAAAGTCCTGTGGGGCTGAGTAGTGTGAATCATCTTCAAATGCTTCAGTTGCTGCTTGATCCTAGTACAATAATATTCTCTGACCAAGACTGTGTTTGTGAAACAAACAAAAAAGGGAGAAAAACTAGAGTTGATTAGTTTGGTAAAAAAAAAAAAAAAAAGGCACGTTATACTGTCTGACAGGTTAAACATCCATATTCAGTTAGGGAGTGAGCTCATATGTAGTGATCTACATCTCTGATCTTAGACGCACTCTTACATTCTCCAGCACACATATACAGTTACCAGGGTTGGGATGGTTACTTTACAAATGCAATCTGATACAAAGTGCAAATTACCTGTTAAAAAAATGTAGTCAGTAACCTAATCCAAGTATCACAATATTAAACTGACTTGATTACTTTGCTTTTTGATCACCTTAATACTAAATATGCAAATGAAAAATACAAAATACAAAAGAAATATCAATAAGACAACAGAATAATGTAAGCTTGGAAAATAACGTTTAGATTTTTAGCATCAAAAATGTGCCTCTACTGTATTTTTTAAGAAAAACTTGCTTTTCATTAAGCAGCAGTTCTCCTGTTCCCTTTACTGCTTTAAAGACAAAACCATGGTGTAATTTCCGACCCTGTGAAGGCATTTCTTCACTAGAGGCCATGATAATGAATTGGCAGCTGTGAGATTAGCTATAGTTTCAATCTAGACCAGAGTGGTGTTTACACACTGCACATGTGTGGTAGTATATTGTTCTTCATTTTAAAATGTACTTTCAAATTGTAATCCTGATCATAAACCCCATTTTTCCTAAATGATACTACTACTACTATTAAAAATCTTTTATTTTTCTCTAACTGTACAGTTGCCTGTCATTTTGTATCCTAATTATGTGATCCTGTTACATGTAATCCGTTACTCCCCCAAGCCTGCCAGTCACACAAATATTTTCTGCCACTGCTTCAGGAAGAGTGTAGCTTACACGCTTGTTAGCTCACAAATTAGACCAGTGTGTCCTTGCAGCAGAAAAAAGGCTTGTCTTGCAAAGGCAGTGACCGTCCTTACAGGGTGCGGGAAATCCATTTCACCAAGATGGTCTTATTTGCTACAAAAGTATCACTTCAGCAGTTTGTGTCCAGCCTAACTGATGGCTGCAGCCATCCTTTCGCCGGGCTATAATAATGTCTGTAATATCTGCATACAATTGAATTTGTCAATATTAATAAGCTTCATCCGGCCAGCCTACTCTGCTGAAACAACCCTCATCAGCAGCTGTGATGAGAAAGAGCTGGAGAGGAATAGTCAGGGGTAACCCACGGAGTCCCAACAAGCTTCACATTAAAGAACATTCTTCTCTCTCATGGACCAATTAGTGCCCCAGCCCAAATTATCTGCTTTCCATGAGGAGAGTGACAGCTTCACTGGCTGATTGTTAATGACAAGCGGGTGCTTTTCCCCCTCCTAGAGTCAGAGGGTGGCTGCCCACTGAGTGTCTCCCTGACAGGGAGATGGACAAGCAACACAGACAGATTGAAATGTCTATATCAGCCTCTCCCTGTAGGCCTGTCCCCCTGACCTATAGCCGCACCCTTCCGCTGAGCAAGGACTGATGAAAGCGGGGAGAAAGCGACACGGTGTCCTGAGTATTCAACACAATCACCGCCTTACAAAGCTGACCTCCCGCATACCAACACACACAGGATCCCCAGTCTTCAGAAAACTCTCAGCCCTGCCCACAATCCAAGCAGCCATTAGGTGTCTCTGGAGGGATCATTAAGGTGTTCGATGTCAGATGGTACGAGCTGTTGTACCTGTTCTCCAACAGAGTGCAGAAATAGGAGAACCAGGGACAAAAGAAAATGACAGTATTCAAATTATGTCTGAAAAATGCTATTAGGTTCTAAGTTTATCTGTTCTATTAAAGGAACATACTGAGTGGGTAATCCGTCAAAGTCTATATTTAGTCTTTTTATTTGTCAGAATTGCATTATCACTCACCTTGATAATGAAGTTAGTAGCAGGGACTATTTTGAAAAATCTCCTTGTTGGTGCGTTCAAGGGCACTCCCAACATCTGTAATTTGTGAGTCAGCAGTCATGCAGTATGTTGTTGGAAAATCCAACCCAGAAGATAATCAATAAGAGATAACGTACAGTGAGTGAGGGTTAATGTGAATTAGCCCATTTCATGCTTGAAAGCGTTATTATTCAGCACCCTGACTCCCAATTTGGGAATGTTGCAATCCCAACAATCCGTTCTTATGACCTGAGTTATTGTGCAACAAAAAGGCACAAAAAAAGATAATTAAATATTCATTACGACAGATTATCTGTTTCTTGCATGTCCCTGCAAGTTCATTTTAATACTGTAGTGAGATAAAATGGAAGAGCTGAAACAGCTGCATAGAAATCAATATAAAGACGTGTAGTAAGATTTAGAAAACAATCAGCAGTAATATGAAGAATACTATATTTGTAGCCAATAACCTAAAACAGGAAAAACTGCCAACAAACTTCAAAGAATGATTGATTTCAAAATGTATTTTCCTTTTGCATCTGCAGCTTTTCAGTAAACTCAGATTTACTCCCAGGGTGAGCTAGAGTCTCCACTTGAACTGATGTAGTGCACACACCCGTGCCTTACTTCTGACCATCTTTCTGCCCAGGTGCTCTTTAAGACATGTATGAGTTGTTCATGGGAGCACCATCCATCTCTTGCAGGCATTGCCAATCCATCCAGACTCCAACCGGGCTCTCTGGGAGCTCGGGGACGGCCCAATCTCTACCCCCATTACACCCAAGCAATTGATTACTTTCCCCCACCCCTCGTCTCTCCCTGCCGCCTTGTGGCCATTGTTCAGGAGCCATTATGGCCACACATCATCACATTCCAGCCCAAATGAAGACTGCGCAGTTATATTAACAGACCATACCTGGCAAGTATAATCATTCTCCATCTTTACTATATGTGTCTCCCATTTTGACAAGCTACTTCTGCACAGCCCTTTCAGGTGGGAAAAGATGTTACCAGTGCTACTGTTCAATGATGATTTGCTCTGCCAGCGTGACGTGGAAGCAAACTTTGATAATATTATTATGAGGACGGCTAACTTTCATCCTAAGAACCTTTTCCTGTTTTAGAATATGACTTTAAATTGCCATTAAAATAGGTTATCTTTCTAAATTGCATCTCCATGGTGGATGACTGGAGACGAGGAAATATTTTGGGATCACAGATTGCTTTTTAATTAGCCAACACGCTCCTCTTTCCCCAGAGATAATTAGCAATAAGGAGACTGGTCCCGAATGCCAACTGGGAGGTTAGAGTTGTTAATCACTACAGTAATAATGTTGTCACTGCCAATCGGAAAAACTAAATGTCCCTACCCCGCTAATCGACCTACATTTGTGCTTGACAAATAACCTGACAAGATATCACCTACCTATGGAAGCCCTTTGATGGCAGTGTAAGAAAATACATCTTTATTCCTAATTCTAATAATATTGAATCACTACATAATTTTCACGTTATCTTATAATTTTGACTTATTTCATAATTAAATTTGGACTTTTCTCTCATAATTTTGACTTTTCATCTTTTTTTATAGTTTTGACTTATATAAATAGAAATAAGTCAAACCTTTTACTTTTTTCCCCTTTATTATATAGGACAGCTGACGATAGACAGGAAAGGGGGTAGAGGGAGAGGGGATGACATGCAGCAAAAGGCCGCAGGTCGGATTCCAACTCATGCCTGCTGCAGCAAGGACTCAGTACACGGGGCGCCAGCTCCACCAGGTGAGCTATCCAGGCACCTCACTGTAAACATTTTTTTTTTAAGTATGACCACTTTGTCACCTATTTTTAGCTTCCATATCTGTCTGCCACTAAATGCAATACCATGCAAGATGCTGCAACCTGCTTTTTTGACCAAATCAGCTTCTGTTCTCGCTCTCAGTCCCATTTATTCTTCTACTGTGTGCTGGTTATCACTTTTGATGTATTTCTCTCTGGCTCAGTTGTTTATTTAAAGGGTGAACAAGTCATACCCGGTCAAATGCAAATTATTCATCATGGCCATCAGGTGCAAAAACTCTTGCTCATGATGGATGCTCAGACACTGTGGCCTCCTGGAGAGAGTGCCCTTTTCCAGAAAGACTCATTTATTTTAGTCTGTGGATAAACCAACAGCATATATCCAACTGGGCAGGAGTGGATGACAATAATTGAGAGTGGAGTGTCTTAACTTTATGAGGGAACGAGTCCCCTGACTGTTAATACGGATGGTGCCACGCAGTAAAATGATGAATAGCAAGTGTGGGCATTTTGAAAACTGGAGTCCACTAATACTGAGAGTCAGTGGAGCCTGTAGAAAACAACTGACGCATTTAACAAGAAGAGCAACATGGATGACGCTAAGGAACTGACAGGCTGGAAGAAAGTCTCCCAAGTTGTTTACTGCACTGGATTACTCTTTTTACACTCTGAACAAACCCCAGCCTCACTGTTTTTACTCCATATGAGCCTGTGATTGGACGAGAGGGGGTAAAATAGAGAGCAGTGACATGTTCTCCTTAAAACAACAAACAACAATAAAGCACATCTGTTTTGTGCCCACCCCAACGGTGCACTTGTCTACACGCATTCTTAGTTTAGGACTACCTGCCCTAGGCCAGCCAGTGTCCCACATTCAGAATCAGGTTACAGTATTAGTTTTGAAAGTGGATGCAGGGCCGTGGTGCTGCTGTGAAGCAAGGGCTCTCACGCCTGTCTGCCTTTGATGCATCTATCCATCATCCTGACTAGGCCTCTGTCTTCCAATGCTCCTTGTATATGTGTGTGTTTCCTTTCACCCTCACCTTGTCATCTCTCTGTTAATGAAAAACCAGTCTCTCCATCTTCTTCCGTGTCTTACCACCAAATAATGTTTTGCCTCTCTGCTCCCTCGGACCCAATGAACTTTCATGTCTGATACTTACTTTAATCTATTTTCTGCTCCTTGCTCCCTCTCTCCTCTTTCTGCCTCAGTTCTTTCTCCCCATGGCCAGGTCTCATGCAACTTTTACTCCCTCGTCCCTCCAAGCTCAGCCGCTCTCTCCTCCATCTGCTTGCCTCCCTCTTCTTCACTTCCTTTCAGCTTGCTTCCTTAAATCCCCCCTCTCTCTCTCTTTCTAGTCCTTTCCTGTCTGTGCTCTTCTAACTCTGTATCTTCTTTCCTTCCATGCTGTAATTATTAGTCTCTCCTCATTCTCTCGCTCCTTCTCACCCTCCTCCAATTGTCCCATGTCTTTGTCCTGGGGCATTGTCTGTTAATGGAGAAGGGGTGAACACCCGCACCATATGCTGTGCTCCAGAAAGTTGAATGACTTAGGAAAATACCTGGTTGGATGTTTGCATGGGTCAAGGCAGACCCCTCTGTTATAATTATCCTGCATTAACAACAATATTGGTCAATCATTAGCAAACCATATGTCATGCCTTCCTCATCCCACCCTCCTGTACCTCCAACCTTGACCCACCAACTGGGTTTTCTTGTGCTCTTCCAAAGGGAGCCAGTCAGGATAATGAGCAAAGTGCTTTTTAATCGACCATATGGTCCATCTCCCCTCTCTGCAGAGAGTGGAATGAACCATATTTGCAGCTAATTAAGACATTAGCTGATGAACAAACTTTATCTTCGACTAAAAAGCAGAGCGGATTCAAGAGAATGCAGCAGCATTCATGTGTAATCCGGCTGCCCACTGGTGCTAGATTATTCATAACCCATCTGAATCTGAGCAATAACCCGCGTTTACGCATGACGCATGTGTACTTGAAGTGTAGCAGCATTGTGACTCAACTCCTCCGATTCCCGTGGGCAAATTTGCCTCTTATCTCGGACCCAGAACAGAAGTTTAATGGCAGGGGATGCAAGGACTGAAGAAGGATGTGCTATAACCCGACCATGCCTCCTGGTGGTGTGAGCTATATGCATCCATTTCTGCAGATCATCTCTAAATCTAGATTATAAGAACGAAATTAAATGGGTGTTCTTAAGGAAAGCTTGGTGGATCAACTTTTTTTTTTTTTTTTTTTTTTACAACATTTAATGAGAAAAACACAATTCCTGAGGGACATTATGCAATACCATAGTAATGGCCTGGATGTGGTTTTATTACAGGAGGGAGGGGCACTTGGCTTTTTTTTTTTCTTGGTTTACAGTGGGTTTTGTGTTTAAATTGACTGTTGTTTACATTGTAATTCTGGATGTAAAAGCCACCAGTTTATCTCACATCCCTTCAAAGAGTGTAGAGTAGGAGAAAAACTTCACTCACGGTAGAAGATGTACTGTGCGTAATTGGACCAGACCCTGTCATCCGCGTAATGACCGATGGAGGACGCAGTCAGGGACGAATTGCAGGCCACAATGTGAAAGCCGCACTCTGACAGCATGTCAAAAGCTCTCTCCAGGTGTCTGAACTTGAGGTAGAACCTGCAAGTGTAATGGTCCGGTGGTCGGTCCGAGTCCCTGTTCTCATTCAGGGCGTCTCCAAATACCTCTTTCGCCAAGCCAATCCTACTGCTAATGAAGATCCGCGGTAACTTTTTGGCCTTGGCATCAGTTTGACTTTCTCTGCCTCCCCCAGCGCAAACGCCTTTGAAAGCGACCGTGATGTAGCCGTACCTCCTGTCCAAGGAGTAAGAGGGATAAAACCTCTGGTCGCTGCCCTGCGACGCATCATCGAAATCACTGTAGTACAAGTCGTCAGGACATAGTTTTGAATCCTCAGACGACAAAAGTTTGGCCAATTCTGGCAGCTGGAAGTATTCCGCCTCTCTTTTCAACCTTCCTCTCTCGGGGAAGTGGTCAGGGAGGACAACTTGCTTGTCTCTAAGGTAATCCAACACATACCGAAACAGAAAGCCATCTCTGTCAATAAAATAACGTCCTCTAAGGTCCCGGGACAAGTCATTTGAAGACCCCTTCTTGTTAGAGAACAGCTTCCCAAGTAAGGAATTTGGAAAGCTTGTCAAGGTGGCATGGCGAGTGTAATACACCTGTCCACCCACGTTTAGCTCAATAACATCCGATGGAGGGTTTTGCACAGAGCCTTGCTCTTTTGCGGGTTGCGTTTTGCAGTTTTCGCTCAGTGCCATTTTTTTCTAGATCTTGCACGAAATCTTAGTCTTGTCTCGGAGCGCAAACGTCCCAGAAGTTCAGGATGTGGGGTGTAGCTGCATGGTGTTAATGCACTCAGACCCAAACCATAGTCTTGATACAAGCTGCAGTCCTCGCATCCAACAATCCCAAGGTGTGCCTACAGTAGATCCTTTAACCCCGTGCGTAAATGTGCCTGCCCACGGTGCATCCTTTTTTTTACAGAATCGATTATCATAACCAGTGAGCGCATCATGTTACACACATCCACTGCGATGGGTCATTACTGTGACTTCATAGAAATATAATCCTCAGTTCACTCTTACCACCATCAAAAAAAGTAATTTGCTCAAGTTTTCTGTGGAAAAAAGGTTCACCGTCTTGCGTCCGGCTTCTAGTTCAGTCCCATCAGTCCATGATAAATCGAAGAATGTGCGTGCATCCCATCATCCTGCTACTGAGCATCACTCCTGACAACTAGGGATGCTGCTGAAACATGCTCCGAGGTTGCTCACAGAGAGGAGGATGGAAGCGGGACTCCTGCGCGCACCCATCTCTCCAAACTGCTGAGTGCGGAAACGTTTGGTCCGGCAGAAGGTTTAAGATAATGTTGCTCCAAGCTGTGCAAGAGAGAGAGGAAAAACCGTCCCGTGAAGTAACGTCTTACATCATCTTAAAGGAAAATGACATTTGCAGACGATCGACGTGAAGCGGACTGATGTGGGTGCATCTGTGCAGTTTTTCATAAAATTGTGATCTAGCCACGGGCGACGAGCAGCTGGCGGAGAGGATTCAGGTCTAATGCAGTTTTAACATCCAGCGTTGCGGATTTTAATCCCTTCTCCCGAGTCTTCACAGAGGCTTTCGCATTTACATTTAACGCTTTTAGCTGACGCGCTTATCCCGAGAGACGGGTGAGGGGTTAGGTCCCATGCAGTGTCTTGCTCAGAGACTCATCGGCAGTGACAGCCACACATGAACAGAACTGGTGATCACACCATGCAACTAACTCTTTAACTCATTTTCCCATCCATTTGTTCTGTCTGCCCATGAAATTACATAAACTAAAAATCAACATGACAGTTGCCCTCTTCTGCATCCGATTGAACCTCTTCCAGGAAGCATTATCACTTCTTTCACCCAGGACCCTGTGACTGAATATGAAAATTGATCCCTTCCTCATCGATTTGACCGAGTGAATTCTTAATTCAGCACCACGGACAGATCTCAACCCGCTCCAAGTCACATCTGTTTGATGCTCCATCTGCTCGCAAACAAACTGATATAGTGCACTTTAAAAACTAAACAGTGCATTGATTAATAGGTTTACATTTTACACAAGTATGTGTTATACTGCTGAATGATTATAATACATGAATATGATGTCAAATTTGGTATCAAATCCCCTTCAAAGTGCATGCTCCTTGCAGTTTTTTACCAGCAATTGTGTAGGAAAACTCAAACATGAACCCTCATTACTGAGTCATTTCATTCTGGATTATAGTAGCAGTAGAACAGGGGTTTGGGACTTGTGCATTATTGCTCAGGGCCTGCTCAGTGAATTTGTCATAGAGCCATCAGTATACTCCACAGTGAAGCCAAGTACTGTAGAGTGGAAAATCCACTTTGCAGGAAGTGAGACGCAAAGCTGAGTTTAAGGCTTGACAATGCACATCACATCTATAAATGCAGTTATATTTGTCCACAAGCTTGTGTTGTAGATAAGGTATAGGCTATCGCATATGTGGACGTTCACCAGGAAAGGTGTACGATCATCTACACCTAACAGTTTGTTTTATATATGAAGTCTAAAGTCCCTTATCTCCACTGCCCACATCACATGGAGGCAGCAGCAGCACCAACACGGATCTGGGGTTCAGACTGTTTTGTATCTCTTGTATTTGCTTTTCAGCTTTGTTTGTTTTTGTGTGTTTTGAAGCTAGGTTGTAATAAATCAGAGGCTTTTTATTGCTGCAGTGCTGAGAGAAGGCGTTGATGATGGGAGAGCACCCTTGACTCGTGGTTTTGAGGAGGCAGCGGTCACGCTTTACTCTGTTAATTCAGAGTATATTGTGCTGGAGAGGGGTTGCTAAGCAGCCACAGGGGACTGAGTGGGATTCAAACAGTGGGGATTTAGAACTACAGTGAGCATGCCACTGATCTCTTTCCCTGTGATGTGAGGTTTCACTGCTTACATTATACATAATATTGTCATGTTTTGTGGATTGTGTGACCTTAACATGGGGTACAAACACCACTGTAGGAAAAACAAATCTAGATTATTTAATAGCGGTGCTTTATTTGTTTAATATATTTATATATTGATGTGAGTGTATCTCTAGTGTTGGACACAGTAAGACAAAGAGTTAATTCCCCTGCCCCGTGCTTGGGGATGATTCTCTTCCCATATGTGCTATAAACCCTGTTTCTTATTCATCTCACTCATCCTCCCATTAGAGACAATTTCCCTGCCTCCTGTCTTCACTTTATTTCCTGTTCATGCGCTACTCCCAGGTTAGATTCAATCTTTTGGAAGAGGTAGAATTTCATGCAACTTCAGCATGAATAATGTAAGACAATATGGGTCCCAGCTGAGAGTGAAGTTAGAAAATCTGTATCTATAACATTAAATTGACAATTGTGGGTTTTGCAAGCTCTTGAGTTATAATTTTGTAGTGTGTCCTGGGGAAAGATACACAGAAATAAGACACTTTGAAGCCAGTCAGGTTGTATTGAATGTACTTCTGTCAAATAAACAATCGGTTCAACAAACATGATTTATGATGAAATGTTCATTGATAAATGTATACTTCTGGTCTCCGCAAATTTGTTCCGGGGGTGTGTAGTTTCACAAACAAGCCAGTGCATTTGCACTTTTGGAAAATGTTATAATGCACCCTTGAAAGCAAGAAATAATACCAGCCCCAGCCTCTCTGCAGAGTTATTATCCCTCTGCATATAGTAATAGTCTGCCTTACCTTATTTCCTCTTCTCCCAGGCACTTTTAAGCCACTCATATTTCCACATAAAAGAGGCAGGAGTGTGAACTGGCTTGTCTAGAGAAAGAAAATGTATTCTTCAGTTTTCTGACTAAATCATAAATGAAGTCACAGTGCTGCAGTTTTTAATAGTAAGTTTAAAAGCCCTTTAACCTCCTTTCTATTTGAATTAAGGCAATCTTTGCTTTATACTTTGAATATGCACATGTACATCCCAACAGTGAGGTGAAAAGGTCACCCATTACAGCTTAATTAATAATTATCCAGTAGTGTTTTTCTTATTTACTGATGCAGCCATTGCAGAGTGTCCTCTTGAGCTCCTGGAGGCAGTAAACTAAGTAGACCAACAGGGAAATTGTAATTTCAAAGTATTATTTATTAGTTGTATCAGTTTATAAGCATTCAATCCATCAGTACATTATTTATTTATTTATTTATTTATTAAAGAATGCTCTATTGTTTTGAATAACAATAATTTAAAGAGTATAGAGTTTAGACTGCAGTGCAATATTATATTATTTCATGTTATTTACACCAAAACACCATCATTGTATTGTATCCTGACAGAGGCAGCGCAGTCCACAGGCCAGTGCAGCAAAGACTGAGATGCTGCAGTTTATTTAAATAATGTAACATGAAAAGATAAAACCTGCCCACAAATAAACAGAAGTGTGAGCTAAAATGTTCTTGCATCCACATTTAGACCCAATAAATTGTATCTGATTTGAACAATAATCCTGTGCATTAATCATAATTTACTCTAATGATCATGCAGTGATGTCGGTGTCTGTAATCTCAACATATCATTATTTAGGATGTATTGTCTAATAAAAGCTCTTTCCCCATGGCAGATCTATACTTATTTGGTGTTTTTCACAGGTTGAAATAAAAACCACCCTCAGTCCCACTGCCCACAGATCATCATCACTGTATTGTGTATGACTGCAATGTCCATTCATAATTTCTCCCACTGTTCCTCTGCCTCAGTTGTCTGGCTTTCTTTCAAAGGCTCCATTAACAGCTGAGAGACGGTGGAGCCCCCACAGCTGGGCAGCTGTATGAACAATGTAAGAGGAGACTAATGCGGACAATTTGATCAGCACCAGTTCATACTCTGTTGTCGGCCCTGGCACTTCTAAATAACGCTATTAAGATGGCACTAAAATGAATTCCTGCCAAAGTATCTTTTTAATACTGTCTTTTCATTCTCAACTATTTTATTATTTTATTTTTATTTCTTGATGATGTTATAACTTGGGTTGTAGTGTATTTTATTTATTGTTTTTGTGAAGCACTTTGTAAAGTTGGTTTTAAAAGTGCTCTATAAATAAAGATTATTATTTGTGTTGTTGTTGTTGTTATTATTATGATTATGATGATGATGAGATTATTATTATGATATTATTGTTTTTATATTATTATTATTATTATATCCTTTTATTATTATTATTATTATTATTATTAGTAGTAGTAGTAGTAGTAGTAGTGGCATTATTATATTATTATTAGTAGTAGAATTATTATTACTATTATTATTATTATTATTATTATTTGTATTATTATTATTATTATTATTATTAGTATTAGGAGTATTAGTACTAGTATTAGTATGAGTATTATTATTATTATTATTATTATTATTATTATTATTATTAGATTATTATTATTATTATTATTAGTAGTAGTAGTAGTAGTAGTAGTAGTAGTATTGGTATTAGTATTATTAGTATTATTAGTATTATTATTATCATCATTTATTATTAGTATTAGTATTAGTAGTATTATCATTTGTATTATTATTATTATCATTATTAGATTATTATTATTATTATTAGTAGTAGTAGTATTAGTAGTAGTAGTATTGGTATTAGTATTATTAGTATTATTAGTATTATATAATCTTGTACAATAATAGTTGCTTTGTATTTGGGTAATCAATAGTGTCCAGTCTTTTATTTTGAATCCCTAACCTCCTTCAGATTTGACCCCTCGGGTTTGAACTCCAGGTCATAACAAGTTGCAGTTCCCCTCCGCGGCCAGCAGGCGGCGCTGTGTGTTGTCAACAGCTCTGCCATGGGGCTGGCTTGCTTAGTTCTCCATTTTGTATGTTTTTCCTGGAGGTTAGCGCCTACTTTCCTAATGGCTAGCTGCGAATCCCCATAGCTCAGACCACTTCAACGCAGACAGAATTCACTGCAGGGACTGGAGGACTAAAAAAAAAAACAACAACTCAAATCAAACACTCAGCTCGTCGGAGGTTGTTTTTATTATTGTTTTGTTGTTTTGTAGCGAGAGGAGCAACATTAACACACACTGAGTCCGCGTTGAGCGCTGTGGACTTCCACTTTCAACCAAAACAATGTTGACAGACGACCTGTGGACACACACCAACAAACAGTCACCTCAAGGGTAATTAATGAGCTTTAATTCACGTCTGTGCGCGTTTATAGCTCCGCTAAAGCCGAGTGCGGTAACGTAGCAACGGGTGTATTTAACGTTGAACGCGCTTATAATGGGAGCTAACGGTGGCTAGCAGGCTAACGTCTACTGTCATTGGACCGACAGTTAGCGGTGAGCTAACGTTAGCATTATGTTTAGACACTCTGGGTACACTCACGGCCGTCAGCGTTTGACTTGGGGTTGAACCTGTGTTATGTGTGTTTACTTTTAAGGGCAGTGTTTGTTAGTGTCTGAGCGCTCAGATTAACGTTTTGCTAACAGGGATAGCTAGCTGCGTTTAGCTATGTTTAGCTTCGTTGTGCTAAGGGCGCGCAGGAGGGGGGGGGGCATGCTTGGCAACTTTCCCCTGTCTTATATTGACGTTTATTACTTGTTCTCTGCATGTGTACAACCATAAAACATGTTAAATTACATTAAAGTGCTAGCCTTTCAGCTCACCTGATAAGTGCCCTTTGTGTTTGTTTTAATGTGGTTGCTATGCACTCTACTTAGCCTTGTATGTTAACACTCTTGTCTCTTTTGCCCCCCCAAAAATAAAAAAAAGATGGATAAAGGTGGAGTGAAGAAAATAACATATAGAAGAGATGACCATTTAAGCAAATTGGTCTACACTGAAAGCCCTGAGGAGGGAGGTCTGTTGAAAGTGGCTCCTCACAGTGCCATGTCCATTGCCTCCGCCACATCTGTTAATCTTCCATCCAGCCCGTTGATGCAGCCAGGACAGGTGCCTAACGGCCTCAGCAACAGCCCCCTTCCAGAGGAGCTCACCTCTGTTACTGCCACTGTAGGCTCCTTGTTGGAAGACCACGAGTCCAGGGGTCTGACCAGAGATCAGAAACTTCAGCAGCAGTTACTCCAGACGCAGACCTCCACTACATTCGGGCGCCAAACGTTGAGGGAAAATTTGCCCCATTTGGAGGCCAGTATAGCAGACATCACCTCCATGGATTCACTCATTGGGGGATCAGATCCCAACTTCTTCCCCATGAAAACAGAGGATTTCTCCATGGATAAAGGAGACCAGGAACCAATTGACCTTGATCATGCTTTTGAGCACATTGGGAAAGATGTGGACGTGCATCAGAAATTGTTCAGTGACAACGCTCTGGACTTGCTCCAAGACTTCGAGCTCACTGGGTCCCCCTCAGATTTTTATGTAGGTGATGATGCCTTCCTGTCCTCTCTGGCAGATGATTCTCTGCTCGGGGACGTTAGCTCAGAGAGGGACATAAAGCCTGCTGTGGTTGAGAGTATGAACGGCTGTGGGGCAGTCTCTGTTTCTCTCAATGGCAATAACATGACGAGTCCAGATCAGTCCTGCTCCAGCATATCCACAACTGCCTCCTTAACCCCTACAACCACTTTGTCTGCATTGGTGAAGAAAGAAAAAGATGCTGGCTTCATTCAGCTCTGCACCTCAGGTGTGATCAAACAGGAGAAGTCATCTGCAGGCCAGAGTTATTGCCAAATGAGCGGCACGTCTTCCACAGACATGCCCAACTCTAACCCCATCTCCATCTGTGGGGTCAGCACTTCAGGAGGACAGGGCTACCGATTTGGAGTCAACCCTACTAGCAATGAAGCTCAGCAGCACAAGGATCAGAAGCTGGTGTCCAGCATATATCTCCCAGTGACGACCATTAGTGGGCCCTGGAACAGAAGCCAGGGTGTTGGGGACAACTCAGCAATGCACGGGGCCAGTGAGGCTTTCTCAAGCTCTTACCCCATCAGTTTTGCCAGGTAAGAATGAGAGTAGTACTCAGCTGTGTGGTCTCATCTAACTTGAGCTAATATATTTATGTCTTCTTTTATCCTCCCTTGCATCATTAGACATCTAATGTTCTTGTGATAATAATAACTTTATTTTTATAGCACGTATCTAAACAAGGTTACAAAGGGCTTGACAAAATATGTGACAATCAAACAAAGATAAAAGATAAGTAACCATACAAATACAGTTAAAACAACAGAGAAACAACACTAACCAGAGTAAAGACAAGAGCTGCTTTCAGAATGTTCTAAATAAGCCTAGTCATGAGCGTCATTAGCCATTTTATAACTTTGTTTATCAGCACAATATTAATCATAGACAAGTTGGGCAACAGATAATCTCTGTTTCCTCAATAATACAGCTACACTGTGCACATTTTGCCTGAAGAAGGCTGTGCAGAATCATGTATGTGCAGAGTTTGACACTAGAAGGATGTTTTCACACTCGTCTGCTGAAAGTGGAAAGTTTCTCTGTGCTCATTGAAAATCAGATTTTAAGGGGCGCGGCCTACGAGCATAACTTGTGATATCACAAGTAGTTTGGAAGTCTTTAAAAATCCTTTTGAAACTTTACAAATGAACCAAATTTGCATATTCATAGACTCTGGATTATTTTAATGAGGTAGAAGGAGTAGATGCCTTTTTTAAAAAATGATTTAAATGTGAAAATTATGCTTTTTTTGCAGGAAAAATCCATATCAAACATACATTATTGTTCCAAGCAGACTATTTGTATTTATGACTTAATACATGTCTGCAAGGACTTTGGAGTGTCAGTGGAAAGAGGAGTGTTAGTGTGCACTACCAGCAAATTGAGGAAAGATTTTGACAGCTTTTCTTCATACTCAGCGTGAACACAATACTGACATTTAAATGCAGTTGTTGAGCCACTTACCTTTTTAGAGGCGTAGTTCACCTGAGAAATGTCACTGAAATGTCAACCCGAAGAGGTGTTTGGCTCACTGACAGGGTGGATATCATTAATTAAGACTGCTGGCTGCTGACTGTTGGTTTACGCTTCTTTATGGTTCACCTGCTTATGACCTTGTGTGTTACGAAATGGTTTCAGTGTTATAATTGAGGTGTCTTTGACACAGCTCATATTTCTAAACAAAGGATCATATACCCTAGACCAATCTATATAGAAAATGTCTTGGTCAGCCCCTTATTTAATTATTTAGATACATTACTTGTGATTGGCTATTGTCATTTTTTAAAATCATTTTATTGATGAAGTTATATGCTGAAAGCGATAGTTTGTTTTTCAGCTCTGTTTGTGTTGTTTATTGATGTCAATGTAGGCACGCTCTGTTATCTGGTTTCAGAAATTAAACATTGGTGATTCTGGATAACCGCTCTCACAAAGGTGGTTATCAGCTGGTGATTAATCCAGTTTACGAGTAACTACACATGAAAGAGTTCAGGTTTATAACGCACACACCCAGTCACATGCAGCAGCATCGGATAAAACACAGGATATTTAATACATATTGAAGATATTGATTAATGCAGGAAAATCGGGACGTTGCTGTTTTATTGACTAGAAAAGAGGAAAAAATAGTAGAAAATAAGTTATATGCATGTACTTGTACTTGTCAGTGTGAAGATTTATTGTTATTATTTAATTTAAAAGGCTGATTGTGCAGTTTGTTAGGGCACAGTGGGAAATCCTTTTATTTATTGGATACTGTTATCTCAGCTATAGTTTAGATAAAGTTTACAGGTACCATCAAGTGACTCATGTGCACCTGAGCAGGTCAACACAGTTAATAACCAACAATATGCAGTAAATTTTAATTATTTTACTAATGGAAGCATCTAGCTACCTGCTTTATAGCGACAGTGAAACACTTGGTGGATTAATTTTTTAATCTTCAGTCACAACGCACAACACCTTTCCATTAAAAGGAATAAATGTATATCTGATATAATAGAAAGAAAAACTATTTTGTAGTTTGTAAACCCATCTTTCTGTGTTCTTTAACACAAGTCTGGTGTTTCCATTTTTGTGATTGTATAGGAATGGTAACATTTAGATGCACGAGGAGGTGGACATCTTACATGTTTTGATAACCCTAAATAAAAACAGCTCCTCGCAGGTTTGGTTGGCGCTGTTGGTTACCATAAAAATGGAGCTGGGACAAAAATGCCAAGTTTAACCCCGAGGTCAGTTAGTTAACCCACTAATCCTGCTTTGTGAGACAGGCTCATGGACTTTACAGGATGTGGCTGCAGAAATAAGCACAAAGATCTGGAGAAAGGATGTGCTGTTAAAAGCCAGAGGAAGTCAGACATTTAATCTGTTTCTCTCCTGGACAAGCCCGAGCATCAGTATGCATGTTTACGACTTGTTCCTAATCTAATGTGTTTTCCTACTAAACCAGATAGATTTTATTTTATTTTAGTGTCTCTTTTACTTTTAGGTTTAACAGCCTTTTGGCTCTGCTTAGCCTTTTATGGAAGTATCCACTCAGCGGGGTTCATGAGATTGTTTTGGGCAGATCTTTTTGATCCTCGAGTTGCATTATGCCAAAAATAAACCTGAGATGCACTGTCTTCACTTGAAGCACATCTGTCCCCAAGGATCTGTGGATACCGTTCATTGAACAGTATGGATGAATGAACTGTAGCCTTTACAGGCCTGTACAGAAAGTCTAGAAAATTCTTGAGTTGAGACAAGTGAAAAGGCTGCTTGTTCCACTGACTTGCACACGTGATTTTGCTGAATCTTAATTTCAGCTGTGATTTCTTTCGAGCGAGTATTGAGTCCCAGTATTTGTACTCCACACGGTCCCACAAAGTGTCTTTTGTACAGTTATTACTCTGCTGCCCTGTAGTGTGTAATGGATTCTGCTGTGAATGTAGCTCTGGGATCCAGTCGGGATACTGCTCAATAGAAATTCTTCACTAACAGTGGTGTGACACATGTCTTGGAGGCTTTTTTGTTTTTCGTCACGCCTGTCTGATTCACAGCATCTGACAGGGAATGATCAGCTCAAGATTAGCACGCAGGGGTGCGTCATGTCAACGAGGGCACAGCTGTGGTTGTGTTTTTATTGTTTGCGCAAATAAATTATTGGTACCATCTTCACGAATGTCTGATAGTCGACCTAATACCTGGTGACCAGGAACAGATGGAGAGAGACACGAGATCTACCTCATCTTCAATTCACATGTGGTTTTAATTGCCTTGTCTTTGTGTTTTTTTTAAGAGGTTTGTGCTTTTAAGCATAGGATTATGTCTGTGGATGTGGTGTGAGCCTAGATTACCTTGTTTGGGTGTGTGGGTATTAGCTTATCCGTGTGTAAACTTAGCATTTCTCTGTGTGTATATGTAGTGTGTGGGTGTTTGTTTTTGTGTGGTACTTCTGCGCCTCAACCTTTGTGTCATTTGAAATTAGCCTAGCGCCAGGCTGCACTGTCTCTGGTTGTGAGGTGGTTGGCATCAGGTCCGTGTTCTCACGCAATGGTTTTGCTATTTCCTACTGAGGCTCTGAGGACCTCACACGGCATTGAGTACCTGACATGTATGTAGCCCACCGCGTAACATAACTAGTGGTTTAATTTTCCATGCATTGTCTGCTCATTTTTATGCATCACAGTTTCACAGTATGACTCACAAACAACTGGTTCTCACACAATGAAGAACTCTTCACCTTGAGAAATGCGGCGCTGGGCTCCTATTTTAGGCAATACACACCTTCGTCACACGACAACTGGTTTTGATGTGGCATTACCTGATTTTTAATTCAATTGCACTGAAAGGAAATACCCTTTGAAAAAAATGCAGAAACATAATTCCTCTGGTAGATAATCACACAGGTCATTTAGTAGGCATGTGTTATGCAACCTTTGTTTTTAGCATGGTATTTCCTCCTCCGCTTGTGATTGGCCCAGCCCAAAGAGGGGAGTTTGTGGGTCAGATGTAAGGACTTTGCCATATAGTCTGCTGCTGACTTTCGCCTGTGCCCTATTGTGTTCCTCTGGGCTCTTTGACGAAATAAGAAAATAATAATAATAATAATGATAAAAAAGAAGTAGCAATGGACCATATTATCTATAAAATAATACTGTAGGTTTCTGGAATCTCTTCTGAGTTGATTTGGTGTGAAGGAGGAACGCTGTTCGTAGGAGTAATAAAACTTGCTCGCTGAATAGAGCTCACATCACACATTCGGACAAAGCAGTGTTGTTTAGTTTCAGCATCTAGTGTTCTCTTTATGTGCATGTTTGTGAGTAATGTGTGGTTCAGGTTTTTCCACACAAATGAGATCATTCATTCAGCCTTTCACAGAAGTCATTTTAATGGAGATGGATTTGTGACGTTTGTTCAGTTTTTGTATTTATTAACCTTGTAACCATTCATTCTGTGTCATATTCGGGCAGTTACTGCTGAATATGAGTAACTATGAGTTGATTCATCGAAAATATATGAGCAACTACTTTTATAATTGATTAATTTTTCAAGCATAATGCTAAACGTTACTAAGTTTTAATTTCGTAAATGTGAAGATTTACTGCTTTTTCTTTTGTCTTATGTAATCATAAACTGAATATCTTTGGGTTTGGGACAAAACAAGAATTTAAAGATGCAACCCGGGGCTTTAAGAAATTGTGATTCTCACTATTTTCTTACATTTTAAGAAACTTTTGATTGAGAAAATTGATAAATGAATAATGACAGTTTTCAATAAATCTGATTTGCTGGCTAAGAGCCTGCTGTGCAGTCAGACCTGGGCTCTGCAAGGTAAAGAGCACATCCTTCTGTGTCTTCACTACGGAGATAAAAACTCCAGAGAATTTCACATGTGGGAATATTGAGTCAAATTTGGGAAATGGTTATGACTCAGTGCTGAATGCAGCTTAGGAAGAAAACCACTTGAAAATAAACTGTTAAAGCAGCTTTCTGACTTCTTCTCTGAAGCAGCAAACACTGTTATTATCTCCACATGTTAGTTTACTCAAATCCT